ATCTTTGGTGAAATTGATATGGAGGGATCTTCTCTAAATTCCTCCGGAAAAAATAAATTTGAGCAATGTTTAATTAGGCAAACATATTCCGAATTAGGGGTAGATCCTTCAAGGCTGGTATGTGTGGTATCCGAATATGAAGCGCTTGATAAAAGGCCACCGTGAACTCGGGTTTCAAGCTGACCGATGTGAGAACAGCCACACCGTCAGTGCCTGCCATCGGTACACTTATCCACATCACCACTCCAACCAAAACCCGATAACTTCAAGCAACAGTATTCACACTATCTTCCAGTTGAACTCTACTACTACTTTCTTCATCCTCCCCTTTGACACTAAACACTGAATTAGTTCAATCTTTCTCTCAATTTGTTATCTCAGCTAAATTGCGAATTATGGAAATCGGCGGACAACATTACCTTCGAGTTCCCTACGCCTATGCGGAATATGAATTTAAATGTCCAAATTGCGTATATCAATTCAGGACCCATGAAGACTTGATCCATCACTTCAGCCATGATGAATATCATGCGTTTAATGCTGGTCTCTGGAAACTCAAACATCCGAATTATACCGAAACTCCCATTTTCTGTTTTCGCTGCTCAAAAGTAGTTAAGAATCTTTTACATCACTGGGGATTTACAGCAAAACACCATGTTTGCTGGGCATGTGGACTGGACTACAGTACGGCTGAGGATCTTGCTGAACATGTACGCGGACGTGGTGTTTCTGGTCGCTCCCATCTAGGAAATTATCTGAGGTTCAACCTCGAGCATTGTTACAACTGCAAAGTTTGTTACATGATCTTCCCATCACTCTCCACACGTCGACGCCACGAGTCTGAAGACTTGATCCATTGTGATCGGAAGATCCTGAAGTACGCAAGCTCTGTTTGTTACGACCCTTCTCTTCTAACCGTAACGGATCGGTCAGGTTGGATGTATTGTCATCGATGCAAGGTGGTTCTTAGTGAAAAAGGCCCATCACATGATACTCTAGTTATTTGGAAAAATCACAAGGATACGAGTACAAACCACAACTACTGCTTGGACTGTAGGCTTGATTTTCCGAAGGACAAAGCACTTGAGTTACACATCAGCAAATTTCACCCTCTTGATTTTGCATGCCCGAGAGCGAACTGTCGAAGGGTCTACAAAACTTTAGAGAAAATGCAAACCCATTGTGCTGAAAAAACAGGCCTAGTTTATCCTTGGGATGAACATGTGGATTTTCAGTGTGATTGTTGCCAGAAAATTCTCGGTACATTGGATGCATGGCAGGAGCATATGAAGAGCGATGCTTTTCACCTTCATATCCTTCAAGGTTATGATGATACCTCCTTGCAAAAGAGTACGGGTAACTTGAAACCTTTTGGTTCAAAGGAATAGAGGACAAGCGGTACTCCCTTCCCTAGACCTGAGGTGCAGCTTGTCTGTATAGAAACAACCTATACACAAGACTAGACAAGCAGGGAGTACGGCGGATATAAAACTTTGTTGATTGTGGGATATTTAAGAAACTTTTACTGGTATCCACTATTAAAATCACTGGCTGTGTCTGAATTCGATATTCAGATATAATCATATTTATCTTTGATGTATAATACTACTATGGAAAATCCATAAAATAGATGTATTATCAGCTTGAGACAATCGTTCCACATGCCCGGGTGCGCAGGTTCTATCAATTTTACTAGCTCCAACTTATTGTGCCTTAAACCAACACCCTATTCCAATCACCACTTACATAGTACATTCATACCTCTATACATAGTTTTTCTTTGGCTCCTGGTATGAAACACAGCTGACTTCTGAAGGGGAAGGCTCCAATGATATCTTTCTCCGTAGTATCCAGTTCGCTATAGCTACATATATGTACATACATAGCAATGCTCCTGCCCTCTCTCCCTATTAGAGACTGAACAGCGTCCTATATCCGCCATTTACTAAAATAACATCAACATAAAACCAAAGAGTATGATCGGATGAAGGTTTCTATAAGTGATGAGAACATATATCCCAGCAACCCTTTGAGTTTGGTAACTCGGGTCTTTATCAAGTGCGAATAACAATCTGCTAGGTTGAGTACTGACCGATACCCATATCAACCTTTTTCTTTCTTTTAAGGGCCCTATATATATATAATATCTAAATAGATATATAGACGCGCTATATACATAAATTATGCGATTTTGAACCTTTCGTTTACACGAAACTAGTCAAGATACCTCGACTGCCACATGCTCTTGGCTTGCTTCGGGATGACCTGACGCTAACAAATAGACACAACGTCCCAAGTTCTATTTCTCGGTGATTAAATGACCGGCTCCAAGCCCACCGTTCCTCCATATGCAAAGGGAGAGGGAAAAAAAGGGAAAACGCAAGGAAGCAAAAAGTGCTAGCCGGACCCTAAGCCAGACCCTTCGTCCATGAATATCCAGTTTAATTTTAGAGCGGAGGCGGGATCGATGGGCAATTAATTAACGTGAGTGGAATCGATCACGCGCGTACGGGCCAGAGTGATATTTCCGTGATCGACGAACAGCATGTATGATGGGGTTGACGTTGGTATTCCGCAATGACTACATAATATGTAATCTAGGTACGAGATCGATAAATTCGAGGTGCTCGAGGTGTTTTTGAACTGCGTGTAAATTTATAGTACATTGTATAGTACGCATGTATATAAATACATACATACGCTATGAGTACCAATCTACATCTTACGATAGTAAGTACGTGTTACATGGGCATGTACATGTATTCGCTGATTATTTGGCCGCGCTTCGATAAAATATTAATTGATACTTGGACTTGGGGCACTTCGAGGTATCCAAGTCTAATAGATTGAGGTCGGAAATGTAAAGCCAAAGATGAACGAGGCCGAGACATCCAGCAGTCACCCCTTGAGCGGCCCCGTGAACCGTTAAAGCGACCGGATATTACAGCGGGATGTTGTGGAACGGAGCCAATTGATGTTCTTTTTCCTCTTTTTCCACACAATAAGAACTGATTTAAACTTCGCCATCCAGATCAGTGGGAGATTTGCGATCGGCGGTGCAGGCAAGTGAGACATTACTTGGCCTACAGTAAGTCAGTCATTGGGTATCACTCGGTTTCTTGGTTTGTTCTAAATTTCCGAGCGATTGATTGTGGCGTGGGCCAAGAGATCGGATACATACATTTATAAATAATTATCGTGCCGATGTTTTTGGTGATGGATTAAGAAAAGGAAAAAACCGGAGAGAGATATCGTCAAGAGTGGCTGGCGAGTCTTTAAGAGGATAAGCACACTTAACCAGTCTATATTTATCTACTCTGGCAATGAATGATTGGCAAATATAATATTAGCCTCTTGTAATGTAGATCAATATATACTCGCCTACCAGCATAAGAACCAGAAAATGCGAGTGACAAAGTCAAGGATTATCTGTATGGCAGAACGGCGCCACTCCATACAAACAACCCTTGACTTTGTCACTCCCATTTTCTGGTTCTTATGCTGGCAGGCGAGTATAGAAATACTGGCTCCTATCATATCACGAGAAATCTGTTTTCCGAAGGAATGACACCTGATCCCGAAGGTATCTTGGGCCATATTTTTCTGGGTCTCATCACTTTATAATTAACCAGCATTCAAATATTCCTAGGATGGAGTAGAGTTGGTACAGTATACTATACGCGTTTTAACACAGCAGAATTCTACAAAGCGTACGGGTCCTTGTCATAATAGGTGCATCAATCATAGAGATTCCGACAAGACTCAAATGGTCTCTTCTCTCTATATAGAGTACTTGCATTGTAGCTAAACCTAGAGCCACGTGCGTCTATACGTGATAGCTAATCGTCGAGTGGCGAAAGAGAGCCCACGACTCACAGACGGTGCCTGTGCTTCGCACCGTTTCGTTACATAGCGCGTTCCTGTGCCTCAGTACTAGCGAGATTAAACGGTGATTGAATTAAGGTTGGCTTCGATCCAGGCACCAGAAAGAACGCACTTGGAAACTCCATTACGAGATTCGAATTGCTTATCGACAATCCATGGGCCAAATACGTCGTGTACTGCAAGTATTTGAGTTAAGTACTTCCCCCTGATCATCTTTGCCTCGGTTCAGCTATAAACGTACAAACAACACCAGAGCTTGGGCGTTAGCAACCAATGTCCAACCAACCAATACAACACCTAAAAACAGAATAGGAGACCCGCTGTCTTTTTTTTGAACCAAAACAAAACAAAACAAAACAAAAAAACAAGCTTGCAAGACAAGACAAGACAAGACACGGACTTCTAGCGCTTGTGTTGACCTGCGACAGTAGATGTGTTTGATCAGCGCTAGACCTATTGGGAAATTGCCCTGGAGACCTGAGAAAAGATCTCGGGTCTTATTAGTTCCCGGTATTTTGAGGCCGAGCGACGAGCGAGGCCGAAGATCCGTGGGTTAATAATCCGGAGCCGTGGAATGCACTAATAGGAGACTAGTTGACGGTTCGGTTCCTGCAGCCAATTGAACCCCTGCATGTCTTGCTCAAGGCCCTTAGTGGGGTGAAGTGCTGGTCTCGTGCTACACAATGCCATGCCGTTAGTGGGGAGAGACTAGAGGGGGATTTGTTACGTGGTATCGTGAGGAGGAAGAGGTAGAGGGGTCAAGTTTTTAAGAAGACTGGACCTCGACACTAACGTTAATGCAGTAAGAATTCCTACTGATATTGTTTTAATATGTAAAGGGCTACAGCTGTACAGATGTAGGTAATATATCGATATCGCACCACGATATAAACGTTACTTCTCTACGTGGCTTGCATATATCAACCAGTATTTAGGCTAATTCCTAGAAAGAATCATCTACTTTTACTTGAAGAGTTATAGTAATGTCAGGCATACTAGCTAAGTAATCGTTTGCAAATACCCTATGAGAGACCGTTCACTATCATCTCACTCAACGTGACCTACTTGATGCTGTAAGTAATTGAGAGGATGAGTTCAGCTCGTATCGGCACCTATCAATCACCAAGAGATACTCCAAATTCTGGGCCGTCTACTATCAGTACGCGTGTTCATCAAGCCACCAATTTGCAGTTTGCATGCAGAGATACAATTTCAAGTAATGTGATATTACCACGAGGGAAAAGCAACAACATACCAGACATGACTTCTCCCACCCTCCGTTGCCGGTTCTCCGCAACCATCCCTGTGCAGGACATTGAGTAAGCTTAAACAAATCATCTAGAATGCATAATAGAGGGGGTAGGATAACTTAGATGGAAGGGTACGTACCGATCAGCCCTAGTCCAACATCCCGTATCTCATTGAAGTCATGGAGTAACTTAATATGCTGCTTCACCGTCTCCGATGCTGCCGGGTTTCTGTTTACATGACAATGTTAACAAAAGTACGAGGCAAGCAATATGGGCAAGGTAAGAGAAACTTGAGCTTCTTCACACTCTCATCGTGCTTAGCCTGGACTTGCGCGATCTGTTTCTCGAGCGCGAGATTGCTAGCCTTGAGTGATTCCTGCGGGGTTGAGGGTCAGCCAAAGGCACATCACAAGATGGGATCGGATGGAATGAGGAGACAAACCAGCTTGCGTTCGCGGGCTGATAGCTGCAAGGCGGGCTGTAATTGTGTTGATTGTTGTGACGGTGCCGGAGAGCCGTCTGATTGTTGTGTCTCCAATTCCGATTCTGGCGTTGAAGACATTTTTACGATTGGCTCGGGAGTACACTTTGCAGGTTTACTTTGCTTTTACTCTGCCTATTTCAGCTTATTCGTTCGGTAGTGTAACTACAGTCGTAAAATTGAGAACGTATTTGGAGTATGCTGCTCTCACCCGACGCAACTGACGTCTGTAGCAATCCGACGATCACTTAAGCGAACCTTGGCCTACTGCCTCGGCTTGCAGAACAGCTAGTAAGGAGAGACAGAACAACGGCTAGATATTTTGTTTGTATTTTTAGGGGCAACCGATCCGAAGGTTCTATTGAATTTGTTTCTAGCTCTACATATAGTACATGTAGTAAATAAGAAAGACTATGATGTAACGTATGGTACCCAAATCTGTTGTCTTTAGTCGGAGTTTTTACGTGCCGCTGATTTTCATCGGCTTCTAGCGCGTGTCGGGAGGAGGTTTAGTTAGTGGGATCTAGGGATTTGTCGAAGCGAGGAAGGCGAGTTGGCTAGTTTAGTTCGTTTGTCGTTGTTAGAGGCACTTGTTGGGTTACTAAACATAGAAGTTCTAGTTCGTAGGGATGAAACTAGGACCCTGAATCCTGGAAATCTTTAATAAAGGTAGGAACACTACAGGCGCAATTGAAGCAGGTAGGGAAGAATCCTCAAGGGTGGGGGAGGTGGTAAGTAAGTACATTTACCTAGTTACTCTACTGAGGTTAGTTAGCTGCTGTAAAGTTTCACGAGGTTAAGGCGGTAGAGTGTTTTCCTCATGGCGTTCATAGTCGAAGGTGGCTTTCTGCACATACGATTTTTACCTATGGAAGCAATCAGATGAGGAGCACGCTCTAACTGTCTGCCGTACCTGTATCCGCGACTCGCCAGACAAAATTCTCCCAGGGCACATACCTATCTACATGTAGGTACGTGTGTGTAGATACTTACCTATAGAGCTCAGTCAGCGCGGGTCAGGATCTGATATTGATAATCGGCCACTGCCGAGAATAAAGGAGGCCAAGCCCTAGACCACATTTAGTCGCCAGGTACCAACCAACCAACAAAATCACCCACAAGGAGTTCCCCTCGAATTGCTATTTACAATTACTCCACCATTCGATCAGTTTCGTGAGCCCAATGGCAATGTCTTACTCTCTTTCCCGGGACCTCGGCACCTAAGACATGATACACGAAGAAGAAAAAGAAGACAACGTAGGTACACAAAGAAGCTTTTCTTGGTCTCACAGCATTGCATTTTCACGTTTTCTTCCCCTTCTGCTGCTGCACATATTATCCATGGGAGGCAGATGTTTGCGTGTAACCCGTAAACTGTACCTGCTTTTCCTTTCTTAGATGACTATCATCCTCCCGCCCCTGGTTGATTTCTACTCTGGGAGTGCCAGTACGTATGCTCTAGTGTTTTTGGATTCCCCTGGGGCGTTATATGCGTACTAAATATGTTACAGGGGCCTCCGTTGCTAGTGGAGTCGTCCTGTTCTGGAATATTGGGCCTGGAATATAGTAGGGATGGATGTTTACCCGGGAAGAGCGCGATAGGTTACGCCCTGCTCTACTCTTATGTTGTTCGATCTGGCCCCTAGGCCCTGGCTTCATTGAATATGGGGGGGGGGGGGGGGGGGTTGAGAAAACTGAGGAAATCCTTCTTTGAGGGGGATCTTCTTGGTTTGTTAGCACCCATCGGGAAAGAAGTAGAGTAGATTTGGTAGTGATTGCAATTGATAACGCAGAAGTAATAAAGTACTTACTTACCAATTACTGCACATTCCACATCATACATGCCTACTCGTATCGACCAGGGATGCCGTTATCCGGCAGCAGTAGAAGCAGAAATTCTAGGCAGACCGAGCATGAGGGACGTCTGTGCTTCCTGTCCAGGGCTTTTTTTTGTACTCTATGGTTCTTAATGCGATGCCACAATTTTGGGTGAATCATTCGGTGTTTCTCATCTCAGGTCCCGCCCGCTTGTTTAGGGGGGGCGAGTAGAGTATCGATATACTATATATACCCTCCTACCCTTCTACCTTTCCAAATATTCCTGCTCACCACCACAGCTCTTTCACTCGTTTCAAGCGCTGCTACTATCTTTTTGGTGTCTTTGCACGCCTATCCCTTCGCTGATCTATTACTATTACTACTTAATTCATATCTATCTCGATACTCTGAGCAGAAAACATGCGTTCCAGTACTGCATCCCTCATTGGGGCCTTGGCTGCTTTCAGCAGCTTGGTAGTCGCCCACCCGCTCACTGATGCCACCTTGGAGACCCTCTTCAAGCGTGCGGTATCCCCAGACAACACTTGTGGGTTTGCGTATAACGGAGCTGGTAACAACTACACCTGTGATTCAACAACTGCCGGAACCTGCTGCTCTCAATATGTTAGTACCACCTCTTGATACATATCTCGGTAATTTTAGGTTTTATCTCCATACTAATTAAAATTTTAATAGGGTTACTGCGGTTCTACCTCAGACTACTGTGGCACCGGGTGCCAATCCGACTTCGGATCCTGCACTGGCGGTGGTGACGGTACCGTCACCACCCCCGTCGACCCTCTCCTCTGCGGTGCTGCAAATGGTGGAAATTCATGTGCCGCTGGTCTCTGCTGTTCGCAGTACGGATACTGTGGAAACACCACTGACTACTGCGATACCGGCTGCCAATCTACCTATGGAACCTGTGATACCGGGGCCGACACTGGCAGTGATACCCTCTGTGGGCCAATGAACAATGGTGCGGTTTGTGGTAATGGAGAGTGCTGTAGTCCTGCCGGTTACTGCGGTACCACCGAGGACTACTGCAAGTCTCCGGATTGCTTGGTTGGATATGGTACCTGCGATGCGAGCTTGACACCAGCTGGTGCCAGTACCGCGAGCATTCCGAGACCAGTTTTGGGAAGTGTGCCATACGGTGCGGATATCTATGACTGTGGTAACAACCCGGGTGTTGTTGGTTTGACTTTCGATGATGGCCCATACCTCTACACCAATGACCTTCTCGATCTTCTCGCATCATATGGTGTCAAGGCTACCTTCTTCATCACCGGAAACAACAACGGAAAGGGTTCAATTGATACAACTGCTGCTTGGACGTCAGTTATCCAGAGGATGATCACAGACGGTCATCAGGTCGCTTCTCACACTTGGTCTCACGCAAACTTGTCTTCGTACTCTGCTGCTGATCAGGAAACGGAGATGATCAAGAACGAGATGGCGCTCCGCAACATCATCGGGAAGATCCCAACTTATATGCGTCCTCCATACTCTGAGTGCAACGATGTCTGCAAGTCTACCATGACCAAGCTCGGATACCACGTCACCTACTTCGATCTCGACACCCAGGATTACCTCCACACCACCCCCGAGACTCAGCAGCTCTCAAAGGATGTCGTTCACAACATCTTGTCTTCTGCTAACTCGGCCGTTGATGACTTCTTGTCGATCGAACACGATATCCATGATCAGTCCGTACACAACTTGACCGGGTATTTCCTAGACCAGATGGTTGCCTACGGCTTCAAGGGTACGCCTCTCTTTTAACTATTCTCTTAGGTATTTATGCTGACTTTGCGGTGATGAATAGCTGTGACTGCCGGTGCTTGCTTGGGTGATCCTGAGGCAAACTGGTATAGAGATGCCTCTGGTACCTCTTCGGTTAGTTCTTCTTCTTCTTCTATAATTGCTTCTTCTACTTTATCTTCCTCTATTTCTTCTTCTATTTCTTCTTCCTCTATTTCTTCTTCTACTTCCTCGGCCACAACCACCACCACTTCGAGCTCTGCATCATCATCGGTGTCCTCGTCGACTTCCACCTCTACCACTGCGGCTTCAACTTCCAGCACGAGCTCTGTCTCATCTGCCACCTCCACTACCTCTGTGGCCACCACGCCCGCCACTAGCACTACCACTTCCGCAGCGCCAACCTCCACCGCCATCTGCGCCGGAAAGTGGTGTGCCACAACACCTAAACCTTTCACTAAATCTACTGGGTGCTGGGGAGCTTATGCTGACTGTTATATTGATGTTAGCGCCTGTAATGCAAAGAACTGGGGAAACGATAGATCTACCTGTAACAACTATGGCCAGAATGTCTGTAAGAAGATCGAGAAATTCTGTAGTAATTGTGGATGGTGGGGTGCGTGCAACTCCAGCGACATGAAGCTCTAGATAGAGCGGGTAATGTTTTATTTCTTGATATGTAATGTTTGTTTTTTATTGGCGGGATGAAGGGCTATGGTTCTGTTTTTGGAATTGGAATATGGGATTGGTTGAAAAGCTTATGTATTGTGATTGGGACTTTGGACTATAAAATCTACTATTTATACTGGTCACAGAACTATAGACTCGCTTGAAGAATGCTCTAATACCATAAAATATGACTTATTGATTAAAAAGCTATTATTTATCTACGGGGAGTAAAGAACTTCACTAGATGATCTTGGCATGACACTAAAATACGAGTGATACATTATGACCCATTAACTATTAGAGCAATAAAAACGGCACGGCATGGCACGCCTCCTCATATCCAAAGACGCCAATAACTTCCCTCCAGATCTTATATAGATTGGCTATGCCTCTCGAAGAGCAATGGTATCTGCTTTTGATTTCGAAATTTCATTTTCAAACACTCCCCTCCCGCTGCGCGCGAGATTGAGACGTTTAATCCTCATCTCGAGATGTATGCCTCGACGCGGTCCGAAGTCAGTCAATAGCAGCGCCATACTAACTTGTACCACAGGAGTCCCAAAACTCGATACAACCGGGTGCGCCGCAGCCTCCTGAATCTTGGGTTCTCCCGAGGCTCGAAGCATAGTAGGACAGAATTTAAGACGGCCAAAGCCCGACCCATTCTAATGAGACTGAAATGCCTTGATATTCTCATCCTCTCCCAGGTATTCTACTCGAATGAACGAGTCCCCCTCCCCCCCTGTTGACTTAACGCTCTATCCACGAGGCTGGTGGATGGAGCGGACCCAATAGTCAATACAGCAGATCTGATAAGAGGCTCAACTATTCGTTCTGAGAGCCTTAATTGCAGTTTTATGGACGTGGTACTGGCCGTTTCGACGGCCCATTCGCTAGGTAGACCTACTCGATCCCTCTCCCTTGATTTATTGCGTCACGTTTCAATTCATTGCTAGTGTTAAGAGTGCCTCATCTGCAACATTTGACGGTAGTAAGGTAATATTAAGAATGTCTCCAACTGGGCATACCCAGACATTTATGGAGTAGGATGCAGGGTGGCCAGTGCATTCCACCCCACCAGTAAATGAACGGGGGTAAATAAAGATTCCAACCCAGTGGCAGGATCGGCCCCCGTTTAATCTTGGGCGCGCTTGGACAATACATATAACGTCTGGGCGGATCGTTCCGCTGGGAATTTTGGTGGATGGAGAACTCCGTTGACCAACGTGTAGGGGCGGCTTGGCTCGAGGAGAAGAGCGTGCAGAAGCTTATATTTGGTTGACACTTACTCTAGTCGAAAGCTTATATACTCTCTCTAGAGGCCCTCAATAATTTGCCTCTATTCTCTTGCCTTTTTCCCTATTTATTAAGTACCATTTACTCTATTACAGTTATCGTTTCTCGCTCTCATGTTTTTATCTCTTATCTCCACAGCTGGAAAACAAAGAAGAAAAATACAAAAAATAAGCTTCGTGGGGATTCAAACCCCCCTCTTCCTATTTGGCCAAACGTCCTACTGATGATACCCAGGAATAGGTGGTAAAGACGACTTACCCGCCAGACACCACCGACCGACCGATAAGATAAAAAGAGATCTTTGATTAGTGGTGGGCATGAGACAAAACCTGGCGAGACTTCGTCTCGAGACTTTGGACAAGATAAAACGAGACCACGTCAAGTTCAATATGCAAGATCTCGAGATCATTCTGCAAAAGTCTCGGGACTTTGTTTTTAAGCAAAAGATATGTTTATTTCATTCATTTCAACCATAAGTTTGAATTGATAACCCTAACCCGCTTTAAGATTCTCACTATTAAGACATCTATGTCTGTGATTGCAAAGTCCCGAGACTTCGGCAAGACCGACCCTTATGTATTGGCAATTACAAAACATGAACCCTAATATTACAAGACGAGACAAGACTATGCTCTAAAATCCCGTCTCGTCTTGCATTGTGCCCATCACTATCTTCGATGAGCAAAGACCACACTCACACTCTCGTGGCACCAACTTTAGGGCACATATAAGTAGGCAGAGTCTTTTCGAAACAAATCCGCCGCCCTTTCCAGTGAAGTTCTTTGTTGCCCTTTTTCTCCCCCGAGACTCGTGCCGTCCCTGAGAACAGCCCTATGGATATATATCTGCTCCCGGAAAGGTATTTGCCAAAATGATATCATCTGGTGATATATAGGTGTCTAGGGCGCTTTCACGTGCAGTTTTAAGAGCCGATCTTGGCGTACGAGTGACACTCCATGACCCTATCATAATCCCCGACACCAACAATGTAACCAAGCAAGGGGAGAGAAGATTTTCCAGAGCACCATGATGATATTACTGCATAACACTATAACTATAATCCACATGCACATACAATCCACGACTTCATCAATAGTACTAATTAGCTACCAATAGATCACATACATAACTAGCGTCTCCCGCGCGCTCACGTTAACTCACTTCACTACCATACTCTAGATCTCATATAAAAACAGACCGAACAATAAAAGAAAGAAGAAAAATACCGACATTTCAAGATGCAATCAACACCGCGCCCGTAAGAATGACAGAAAACAAAGTTATTATACAAAATCAATTTCCTATATAGAGATAGAGTAAGGTAGGAGGGGGGAGGAAAAGAAAGAGATTTAAAAAAGCCGTAAAAATAATCAACATAGAGTACCCAGGATAGAGAGCGAAAAAAAAGAAACTCGTATCCAAGCATGCATAAACCCACCACCCATTAAAAAGCGTCATCAGCCTCACCCGCACACGCACACGCACCCGCACCACACAACCCACTACTCATTCTTCCCCAAACTCTGCATATTCACCAACTCAAAATACTTCCCCTTCTTCCCCAACAACTCGCTATGCGTCCCCGCCTCCACGATGCGCCCCGCATCAAACACATAGATGATATCCGCCTTCTGGATCGTGCTGAGCCTATGGGCGACCGCAATCGTCGTGCGCCCCTTCGCGGCCGCGTCGAGTGCCGCTTGCACAACCTTCTCGCTCTCCGAGTCGAGCGCGCTGGTGGCTTCGTCGAGGAGGAGGATCTTGGGGTTTCGGATGAGTGCGCGGGCGATTGCAATACGTTGCTTCTGGCCGCCGGAGAGGAGGGCGCCTTTGGACCCGCACATGGTCGAGAAACCTTCTGGCAGTGACATCTGTTTGCTATTAGCTTTCTGTTTATCAGGGAAAGGAAGGAGGGGGGGGGTGGGGGGGTAGAAGAAGGGAGAAAGGAAGTGGGAGAGACTTACAATAAAATCATAAATATTCGCCGCCTTACACGCCGCCACCACCTCCTCATCGGGAATCACCTCCCTCGCGCCACCCAACAAAATATTCTCTCTAATCGTCCCCTGGTACAGCGTCGGCTCCTGACTGACCAGCGCAATGTGCTTTCTGTAATCATTGATCTTGAGTGACGAGATTTCCCTACCGTCGACGAACACGCCGCCAGCCAGCGGGTTGTAGAAGCGCTCGATGAGGGAGATAGTGGTACTCTTACCGCAGCCCGAGGGTCCGACAAGGGCGACGTATTGGCCTGGCTTCACGGTGAGGTCCAGACCGCGCAGAACGGGCTGCTCAGGGCGTGTGGGGTAGCGGAAGTGCACGTCGCGGAACTCGACGGCGCCGTCCATGGACTCACAGGGGGCACCGTCCTCGCTCCAGCTATCAATCTCGGGAACGCGGTCGAACAGGGCTTTGAGCTCTGAGGCGGCGGCACGGGCTTTGCCCATATCTGGGGCGAAGGAGAAGATTGTGCCTGCAGACTGGGCGCCAAAGACGATGGCCGCAAAAACGAGGAAGAACTTCTGCATATCGTACTCGCGTGTCTTGATGAGCGTACCGCCGTACCAGAAGCCGAGCGCGATGCAGAGGAACATGAGTGACTGGGAGGCGGCGTAGAGGGACGATGAGGATATGATAGAGACGAAAGACTTCTTGGCCTGCGCTTTGAGCTGGGCGTGGTAGATGTCCCAAACGTCTTGTTCACGGGTCAGGGAAGCGACGGTGCGGATTGCGGCAGTGGCCTCGCAGGCGAAGGACGCAGATGATTCATAGGCCTTCTTGGAGCGCTGTTGGAATCGCAAGAGCATCCAGAAGCGCAGGAAACCGCACGAGAGCAGGATTGGGATCGTGGCGGTGCAGACGAGAGCGAGCTTCCAGCCCACGGCGCACGAGACGGAGATGGCGGCGATGAGGGTTGTGGAGACGATAAGGAGCGTACCGAGCGTGACACCAGAGATACCGCTAAGGTGCGTGGTCTCGGTAGAGAGGAAGGACGTCAGGGCACCGGTGCTGTTCTCCTCGCGGTCAAAGTAGCCAATCTCCTGGCGCAGGATGGTGCGGAAGGCGCGGTCACGGACACGGCGGACGAGACGCTCAGAGCAGAGGGCAAAAGCCACACCCTGGCAGAGATAGGCAAGCAGCTGGACGAGCGCGAGCATGAGATACATGAGCGACCAGAAGTTTGCATCTTTCCTCAGCTGGCCATAGCCTGACGGCGGCTGCGAGAGGGCCACAATGGATTTCGAGAAGAAGACAGCCTGCGTAGGATACCCACCACCGGCAATGACGGAGAAGAAGAGGCCGACAGCCATGTAGAACTTCTCGGTCTTGTTGAAGCCGGCGGTCAGCTTGATCAGCGTCCACAGTGAGTACTGCGGTGTCTTCTCGGCGGCGCGGTTTGCGAGCGCCACAGAGCTCTTCGACTTTGCGGTTCCCGTGCGGCCAAGCTTGGTGCCGAGCTCGAGGTCCTCCAGGTCCACGGGCGCGCCGCCCTTGGTGCTTGCATGCGTGAGCGTCAGCTTCAGCTTCTCGTCGTCGTCGATGTCCTCCTCGTCGTCGCTGCCACCAACGGCCAGAGCGGCGCTATCATTGGCTGCGGAGATGCGCTGCGCCTCAACAAGGTTGTAGTAGGCGGCCTTGCGCTCGAGCAGGGCGTCGTGGGTGCCGGCTTCCACAATCTCGCCGTTCATCATGACGATGATGTTGTCGGCGGTCTTGATGGTCGAGAGTCTGTGAGCGATAACAATGGTAGTTCGTCCCTTCGAGGCCGCGTCGAGTGCGGCCTGCACAACGCCCTCAGAGCGGGTGTCGAGCGCCGAGGTGGCCTCGTCGAGCAACAGGATCTTGGGGTCGGAGACAATTGCACGGGCAATGGCGATACGCTGCTTCTGACCGCCGGACATGAGGAACCCGCGCTCACCAACATTCGTCTCGTATCCTTCGGGGAGAGTGCGGATGAAGCCGTCGGCGTTGGACATAATGCAGGCCTTCACAACCAGGTCACGCTTCTCCTCCTCAGAGGCGTTCTCGTGCTTTGTACCGATGAGCCCATGGCAGACATTCCCATAGATAGTAGTTCCAAATAGCACCGGCTCCTGCGAGACAAGCGAGATGTTCTCCCTCAGCCATCGGAGATTCAGCGTCGAGATGTCGTGCCCGTCGAGCAGCACCTGCCCGCCCACGGGATCGTAGAAGCGCTCCACAAGGCCAATGATCGTTGACTTCCCAGACCCGGACGCACCCACCAGCGCCGTCACCTTGCCCGCGGGAATCACTACATTCATATTCTTGATGACCTCGACCTCCGGGCGACTTGGGTAGATGTGCTTAATATTCCTCAGCTCAATCGTGCCCTGCACCTCAGGCAGCTTCGTGCCCTCATCCGACGCCGGGTCTAAAGGCGACACACGGTCAATCGTCGAGAAGATCTTGGCCGCCGCCGCAACAGCCGTGCCAAACGCCTGGATATTCGGCGCCACATTTCCGAGCGAGAACGCACCAATGAGGACAGCCAACAGCACCGTCAAGATCGCCGACAAGTTCGTATCGCCCGTAACCAGGAAGCGACTACCCTGCCAGAACGCAAGCCCGTAGTTGAGATACACAATGCACATCATGAACCCCAGCATCACTGCCAACGACATCTTCATCTTCATCCCCCACTTCTCGGCCACGCGCAAGTGCTCGTCATACATCTTCGCCAACTTCTCCTGCGTGCTAAATGCCGTCGTATTCCTAATGGACGAGATGACCTCCTCCACGACGGTTCCACCCTCCGCATACGACGCCAGCGACTGCTTATTATACTTGACCATGAACGTTGAGCCAACACCCATGATGAGCGTGATCGCGACCACCGTCGAGCACAAGATCAGCGTGAGCTTCCAGCTCTTGACGAAGCCGATGATGAACGCCGTGAAGAAGGTTGCGAGGGCGGTGAGCGTGAGGCCAATCTTCTCCGAGATGCCCTCCTGGATGAGGTTGGTGTCGGCCGTGATGCGGGTCGTGATCTCGCCTGCGCCGAGCTTATCGAAGAAGGCGACGTTCTGGCGGAGGATGGCGGCAAGGTATTGTTCGCGGATCTTCTGCCCCATGTGTTCGCCGCAGTAGATGAAGGCCACGGTCTCGAAGTAGACCATCACAAACTCGCCGATGGCCATGTACACGAAATAACTATATCATCCATCAGCAAACCACATCCACCAATTCCAGATCACAATAACAAAATATATATACTCACACAGTAAACCGATTCACCTCACTCTGCATATGCTCCGGCGTAATCGTTCCCAGCGCAAACTTCTGAAACACTCCCGCAAGCTCACCAAACACCACCGTCATGAGCGGCATGACCGCGCCGGCAATAATACTCGCCAGACACGCACACGCAATCAATATCTTATCATTCGTCGTGGCATAGCGGAACAGCGTAAAGTATGTCAGCTTGACATCGGGAATATCCAGCTGGCGCCGCACGATCGCCGCTTCCTCGGGGGTGAGGTGGGCCAACGGGTCTTCCCCCGAGTCGGAGGTAGTCGAGGAGGGGATCTTGACTGTCGTGTCGGCGGCGGGGGCGGCGGGCACGGGGGTGGTGGGTGCCGATATGGGCTCTTTTTCGGAGAGGGAGGAAGCCATTGTGGCTGGCCTTTTAGAGGGGGGAGGGAGGCTATAGCGAGCCCGGTTTATTTGGGGAGTGTGATTTTATTGTTTTTATGTTCTACTAGGTGGGTATTTCACTCCTTTTATGTATGTACTGTAGAGCTCTTCTCCTGTGCTATAATATAGACGGTTAGCGATATATTCCAAATCCATCATGGGCAAGCTCAAGCTTTTGTCTGCACGATCTCGGCCCGCAACCGACGCTGGATCGGGCAAGGAGCTGACGGGTGGGGCGAGGCATTGGGAGGTTGGAGCAAGTGGGGTGGATGGGATGGTCTGCTGGGTACAGTAAGGTAGGGCTTGAGGGCTTGAGGGCTTGGTTGGGTTGGGTTGGGTGTTGTGGTAGTATCTAGATAGTAGATAGTAGGTAGGGCTTGTGGGTTTCAACTGACCTTATCTGTCTCTGAATTCCTGTCGGGGCAGGCAACCGCAATAAGTAGGCCGACCAGAGATATCTGAGAGGGAAGAGAAGAACAAGACTGTAAAAAAACAGTACAGCTTCTGATGGTGAGAATGAATGGACTGGACTGAATTGTACAGAACAGAACAGCACTGCACTAATCGACTGACGAATAAATAAAAAAAAAGGGGACAGAGGCAGTTTATTAAGTATTGAATCTCCAAACTTGCTTGACATGGGGCCTAATGTGGCTTTTCTATATAGTCACCAACTTAATCTTAACTTTCCTCATGAAATCTCGGAACGACGAAGTTCCGACGGTTGTGGTGGTTGTGATCATGGTAATACAAGGAAAAACGCCTCCACCATCCTCCACCCTCCCCCACCCAACCCTCACATCTTCTTTGCCCCCCTAGAAGAAAGTAGAGATACAAGCAACTGGAACTACCTAATCGGGACAGCCTGACTGGCTACGGGCCGCACTTTGACTTTCGTACACCAGTGCCGTTACTCCTAGCTTGTGAGTGTGCCTACACACAGTCCATCATCCACTTAGAGTCTTACGCACACACTCACACAACGGGTATGTAGGTACGATATCTAGCAAGGTACCTCTTCTGGAAACTACATGTGTAGCTGTATCTATCATAGGCAGGGCACCTGCTCCTAACCAGCTCTAAATCTAATCAACTGAAACACCTCCAGCTCCCCAGAACGCGTGGTGGTAATGGTAAACTTTCCCGAAAGAGGCTAAGCCTTCGCTAAAGTGAGACCCTTCAAACGAAATCCCAGTGCCGCTCAGGAGAATCACAAAGACCGGGAAATCGTCGTTCCGAGAAGCAGAGATCCAAACCCAAATCGCATAATGTCTTGAACTCTTGACTCCTCTTCAACAACAAACCAAACATCACCCTTTCATTTTGCTGCGCTGCTGCTACGGCAATATGTGCCAAGGATGAATCAATTCAGTACTCGGGTACAGGAGAAAGAACCAGAAAATGCAATAGGGTTATTTGTATGGCAGCATTTTTTTGGTTCTTATTCCTGTACCCGAGTACAAAAAAAAAACATCCTGATGGTTTTCTTTTTTACTTTACATGTTGAGTAATTTCAACCTGAAATGCAAATAGTACAGAGCACATATTTAATCAATATCCCCGTATTCCCATTGCATAAAAAATTGGGCGAACCAAACCAGTCCCAATTTAAAACCAGGGTCCAAATTTCGCAAGATTTCATCCATCCTCGGCCCCGCGCGCATAAAGTATGTACTCATCATAAACACGGAGTTCCGGCAACTGCGACCCCTGGCCCAATAGAAAATAAGCTTTAGTTAAATGTGCGCTTGTTTACCAAATCGTGAGTCTAAAGCAGAGTACTGATTTTTGGACAGAATTTTTGTCAACCGTTGATCAATGGCATGATAGAGAGATCTCGGGCGAGAAACAAGGCACATATATTTTATCATGGCCAGAGGTCTTGGTCTGATCTAAGCAGAGTTTTGCCCCCTGGTCATAGGGTAGAGGTGCCCCTGGGGGGGGGGGTAAATAAGTAGAGTCATATCGAGACTAAGAATTGTAATCGTCCGTTTTTTCTGCTTTGAGAAATGCTCTAGATCTCTCTACGTTAAAATAACCAATAATATTGAAATAACCAATAAGATCTTCCTCGTTAGCTGTATCTGCACATGACTTCTGCGGGGCGAGTATTAATATGACGTGATGTCACATATATGCCAATCAAAAGTGCAGAACTGTCGTTTCTCCAAAACGGTTAGAGGACCGTTACACGAACAACTATTGTCTGTCGCACCGATACTGCGCACCTCCACACGAGGCAACGAAGCAACATTGGAGGAGTCAAAGAAAAATTCAGGCTTCCCCGATGACTCCGGGAGGTGATTCGCTTCGTTTTCTCCATGTTGAATACTGGCGGGCGTACCGCGTCGCTTTCTCCCTTCCTTTTGTCTAGTCAGGTGATGATATCGATAAAGCTGCGGGTCATGGACCATCACTCGTGTGGTTGCATGACTCAGAGGTTGCTAGCAGCTTAGGCGGTGATGATACACAAAGAGTTCCGGTAGTCATGGTACGAAGATTAAAGGGAAAATAGGCCGCGTAATATCTATCCTATCAGCATATGGGTTAATAGGGGAATTTCAACAACTCATAACTATGTTTTGTCATCGAAGATCACTCGTATTGCAGCCTTCCGGTGCTTGTCTTGTATGCGTGGACAACTTTCTTTTTGGTTGGGTACATACTTTATCTTTTGTGAATTTATGATATAGATAGGGTGGTCGGACGCAGTTTCTGATTGAGTGCCTTATTTTCTGTTGATCTCGACCGTGACTCAGTGGTGGTGGGTGGTACTTTGATATTAAAAATATGTACTCTCAGGATTTCTACCAACCTTGAGCATTTGGATCTCACCCGGCGATGCGCATTAGTGCCGGAGAAATCATGGCCCGGGAGGAAAAAGGCTTAGATTAGTCTACGCGTGTGCATCCCGTTCGCTAGCCAAGAAATCCCCAATATCAACCTTCAAGACTCGAGGAACCACCATGAGAAACACAGTCCATAGATTCACGAAAGCAATAGCTGGAACGATATTTAACACCTAGAAGAACGTTTGCAGGCGTGTTACTTCCATGGATTCAGACAGATAGATCTTTTTCAAAAGTCTATACCCCCACTCACGTGATCACCCCCACCCCAAATACGTTTGGAACTATTACTCACTCTAGTAACAGGAAGCGGAGAAGGGGATGTTTGATAATTTAGGGAGGTGGATGGTGAAGAGATGGATCGGCTTGAGCTCCTTGTGAGATGGGCGTCAGTGGTTGATTACTGGCATGGCATGAGACAGAGGTATCTGTTATTTAAGTTTATTAGCATGTTTTAAACAGAAGCCACCTACACCCGGCCCGTCACCACTACGGCAGTATGACTAGAAATGATATTACCCTGTACCACTTTGCAGCTTGGCTGGACAGGTCCCTCCTTTCAAAGTTTAGATTTGCGGGTCGGTGACGATAGAGTGTCGATGCCGGATACCCAAAATCGTTCGGGTTCTTCTAACAGGCGCTCGATCCACGTATACGCACAGTCTTCCCAGCACTGAATTTGAGGACTCCTATTCCTCCGAACCAAACCGACCACAGTAGCTCCAAGCATAGGCTTATCGTCCGGCCCCCACTGGCATAGTTAGCAGATAATCTAAATTTTCGACCTTCAATATCGAGCAACGCAACCACAGACGCAAGCACAAATACAAACACCAACACTTCATTATTCGACGTATTTCAGGCTCATATCTATCCATTTATTTCACCAGCTCCCGGCATCCGATCACGTGCACACAATCTGTACGACTGCTCTTACCTGACAATCCCTTTTCCGTGTTCTCCCGACGGCACAGGAAACATTGGTGTCCGGGGCCAGGTTTTCTTTGGTCCAAATACTAATATCAGGCTTGCTTAAGATGGGGGCGTGGATTTAACAATAGATTTAAGGATGGATTTAAGGATGGGTTTAGCGGGATGGTCATAACCCGAGTTTGTAGTGCTGTATTCTCGTCGGTCCATCCTCCTCATACTGCTCTTCCATCTCATGTGTACTACTCAAAGGGCGCATTTCATAATATCTTTTGCATTCTTCCACCTAATCTTTGGGCTTAGATATCCTCATAAGGAAACCGCTACAAAACTAACATTGCAACGGAAACGGGAGTAAGGTTTTGCACAAGTTTACGGAGAGGGAATTTAGAATCTTTCGAGAATGCTAGCCAAAATATTTAATAGAAAACAGTTCCCACTTGAATTCATGCTGTTAGAAGTTCTTCTCTCTACACTGACATCTCCCCCTTCCAGGACCCGGCTTAAGTTTTTGAGTACTCTTAAAGCTGTTTCCACTTAGCTACATAGTCTATAGTCATTTTTCCTTATGTGGATAGGAGAACCAAAGAGCGCGCCGGTCAAAAGTGTCACCTCTAGAAACTTCGACAATTATATTTGATCCCCGAGATGAGTATCCCAAGACGTTTGGAATCGCTTTTACCTCGTTCTGAATCTATTAACCTGGACTTGCTGACTACCAAGACCTCTCTATCTCCTCTTGGGATGATTCTCGTCAGCTCTTACTCATCAACTAGTACGCATCACGTGGAAATGCTAACTAGATGATACAACACAAACACCAACCGGTCTTGGAGGAAACCCATTTCAGATCCGTCTATCGCTAACAAAACTAATTCAGCTAGTTGGTGTAAGCTTATATAATTTTAAGTTCTATAGAAGAACAGATTTCACGTCGGATTTAGGGTAGACAGATTACCGGTGAGAGAGAACCCCGAGTACTACGTACAGAGGTATCGCATACCCTGTACTGCATGCTGCCGAGACGGAGAAGAAGATTGAGCGGAAACTAATTTTGTGCGGAGTCGGAAGTATTTAATGGGCAATTAAAGTAAGGCGTTTGTAGCGATCGAACCGAACCAGTCTCCACGCGATTCTGTTTATTTTCCGACAACAGGTGTGACTATTGTCAGTAGCTTCAGCTTCCCGCGAGATACTTAT